TGTGATAAAACAATGGTACATAGAGCCATCGAATTTTGAATGACGAAATCCTACTGCGAATATGGGCATCTGAAATCCCAAATTTGGAATTTGTTTTATTATAGATTTTATATTTTGTAAAACTTTAACGAATTTTTGATTTACAAACTCAATGCTTTAAAAGCGAGAAATGGCAACGTTATATAGAAAAAAAAAATACTTTTATCTCCAGCTCGCGAGACTGTGTATATCGGAAATTCTAAAGATATGCTTAATTTAACATTATTTTGCGATATTGCTCTTGAACTGAATTTTATGGTTTAAGTGCAAAGAACACGATATTTAATAAATAAAGGTAACACTCAAAACGTTAAAAAAACGCCCCTTTGGACGTAATTTAAAATCTGAAAAATTTCAGATTTTTTTTTTTTTTTTTTTTTTTTTTTTTTTTTTTTTTTACCGTTGTATTTCACTTTTAGTTCGTTCGCGGATCGTCACTGAATCTCTGCCTTTACGAAACATTTTGTGCCACTCGAAAACACGACTTCTTGAAACTGCCTAGCTTGCATATGCTTTCTTAATCCTGTTCCACGTTTTACTAGGGTTTTTCCCGATCTTAACGCTTTGCTCACAGTCAGCATTCATTGTGTCAACGAACTGCACATACACTGTATCCATGTACACGTCGACCTATTTTCACTTAAGTAAAACATCCCAGAATTGCACAAAAATGGCATTGCGCACACTCTTGACTTTATCCATGTACCTCGACCAATTTTCACTTAAAAGTCAAATAAAATTGACAAAAATCCAATTCTTCTTACTCTTGTAAACGCGCTAAACAAATAAGTGGGCGATTCTGCACTTCAGCAGCGAAATTGTTTCTCAGTGCTTATACGCTAAAATCACGATTGGAATTTTCTGGAAAATGTCACATTACATGTCTCATGATCTCTCATTTATCTGAGACAAAATAATCTGCGATTCGAACTGTGTACTTCTCTAGATTATTGTTTAAAGTCCTAGCTAGTAACCTTTATCGCCTTACCAAAATGTCGCCAAACTACCTGTTACCATATTCTAAAGATTAGCCGTTTTCTGACAAAGGATGTATATACTTTTGGTGCGGCCAATTTTAACCAGAAAAGGAATGTGCACAACTACATATTATTGCAGTCCTATATACAAAACGTTCTGAGGCTACTCATTTTTGAGTTATGCGAGACACATGCATAGGTACGTACAGAGCTCCCGAAAAATCTCTTCTAAATTCATTTTAAATCCATTTTATAATCGGTTTGGGGTAAACGAGTCCTTTATTCTGTCCTTACGTACATATCTCACGCAAAATCATCGCTAAATTGCATTCGATAGCGGTCAAAATTTATATTTTCGCTGAAATATGAAAACCGAAATTTTTCGTGATTACAATATTTCCTTTGCTTCGTACAGGGAGTAGCAACAGACACGTTTATTTATGAAGCTAATAATTAGATTCATGAAAATATTAAGCTGCCAGAAGAGAAAAATTAAGCTGGTACTTGAAAGAGCCTATTTATCTTTAACATATGCTTCTAGTATTAAATTTCAGTTATAAGAGCTTGTAAAAAAATAAAACATACAATCATTATAGTATTACATGCAAATGTATTTATGTAGTATTAGAAGTTTTAATACATAGTAAGAAACTTATATGTTGCCGAAATACCTACATTTCTTAATTAAGGAAATCTGCTGAAGTTTAAAACTAATATTAGCTTATTAAATTTCGTTTTCATTAACATACATTGAAATAAAAATACATTTAAGATTTTCTGAGAATGTAACAACCTAATAAATTGTGTGAAATTAAACTTGTAGGGTTTATATTTATTTTAACTAACATTTATTTTAAGCTATCTTTCCTGTCAAGCCTTTACTTTCCCATAGAATTGCCAATGCCAGAGTATGTAAATCGTAGTAGAACGCGCAGAGTATTCAAATTTTAGCAGAAGTAAATTGAGTTAAATAGAAGGGAAACGAGATTGTAAGTGTGCTTCTTGAATCACGAGCGTGAAGGTTGTTTGGTAGAAAGTTTAAGAACCGCGCGTTTCGGCCTGTGGGCCTATTTCGACAGTTCGTTGAATCTTTCAAATTCTTAATCAGAAAGTTTGTTTAATCTCAGCTGTATCTTAGAACGCGGTTAAGTTAGTTACGATTATAGAGCCTCGTAGGTATTGACTTCGTTATTTATTCATCCTGTCATTTATTTTTAGTTGCATTTTTGTCTATTTTGTGCAACCGCCGGGTCTGCGTAGTTTGTGAGCGTCAAGTGAACGCAACTGTGATTTCTAAAGTGAAATAAAAAGGGAATTAAACCCTTCTTAAGAGTTGTGTAATTTCCAGTTCATAGCAGTCACTACTACTGTTGCTGACAAGTTGGGGGCCTCCCCACATCATAAACTATTAAATCAAACTGAACACATTATTTGAACATAAAATTACAAAGCAAAACGAAATGGCAAAAAATTTCATAAAACGATCCTTTGTAATAAGGATGCAGGCTCTGCATTTTCATACAGGAATTATTTATCAATTTTCAGCTTCCGCAGCGGAAAGTTAGTCAGTACTGTAACTGTTAACACTACAGATAGAATAATTTTTGGTATTGGTGGTGGTAGACAATAAGCCACGAAATAATTATAGACTTGTTTTTACTAAAATTAACAAAAATATGAGTTTTACTATTTTTAAAGATTTTTTTACTATTTTTTAAGATGTTTTGGAAATTTAGGGATCCTTTGTCCTTTATGTGAGTGAGTAATGCAATATTGTTTTATCGAAATACAGTATTGTATTACCGAAATATTAAATGATTTAATTTAAATGAATGCTATCAAACATGCTACCCTCTAATTTTGCTCTTACTCTTAGAGATGTAATCTCAAAAGCTAATTATAGTTTTATAATTTATCATAATTATAAAATATATAATTAATAATTTTTAAGTTACAACTTTCCAGTGTTGTGTTCTTTCCTTTAAAAAACTGAATGCTTTTCCGTAATAAATAATCGGAACTACTCTTATATACGCCCTCAGGTCACCAAATTTCTCGCCAACCAAACGTGGTTTTTGCACATGCAAAAACCACGTTTTGAAAACGCAATGTAAGCTAAAAATCCGAAACAAAAACAAAAATTTAGATGGCAAAAACGTTAAGTTTCTAACCAAAAATATTTCACAAGAATCCATGTACACAGCGATACGTTTTAAATTCAAAAATCCTCTACGAATTGCACATTCTAGGCATCGAAGGAATCTACGAACTACGCACACCTCGCTTCAATAAATGAACATAACAACAGTAAATTTCAAAGAATATCATGTACACAGCATTCTGTTTAAACTTTAAAAAAACATGTACAAATTGCACAATCTAGGCATTGCGCACAAATCAACCACTAAACTAAATAACTACGAACCAATTCAAAAAACAACACTAACAACAGAAATTCATAGTAAAAGAACAATGAACATAACATTCTACAAAATAAAAACAGTAAAATAAAACGCACTTACCATAAGACATTCCTGAATAAAATTTCGCCAGTCACACAACGTCTCTGAACAAAAGTGCCACAATTTTGCTATATCACATGTCCTTCTGAGATTCAAAATTTCGAAAGTAAGGATAAAAACTTCCTCCAAAGTTAACTTACTACACGAAGACCACAATCCAAATCTTAAACTCCGGTGACAGCCACATACTTTACCAGAAACCATTTGACTGCAAATCCACACAAACTATCAAAAATGCCCTTCTCCGTCCGAATTCTCATAGCAGCTCCGCATTTCGGACTCCGTTTTAAAAGTCCCACAGAAATTCCAAAAATACACTTCAACCCTCATAACACACACGTGAACAAAAGACTCGTTAACAACTCCAACATCGTACCTTTTAATAATAAACTTACTTTTCACACAATCTAAAATAAGCGACTGAGATCTTGCCACCACGTCTATCATTGCAACATAGGCCATTTCAAAACACGCATGACACGAACCAACGAGCAATTAAACCACTCCAGTAAAAGATTTTTCAACGTCAACAGAGTTGTCATACAACACGCAATAGCGCCAAAAACCAGCGCAGAACACATATCGCCACATTTGGTGATTTGGTGATATTAGGGCGCATATAAGAGTAGAGCCAAATAATCTAATCTAATTTAATCATTATAATAGCTTATTTTATTTATTTATTTATTTATTTATTTATTTATTTATTTATTTATTTTTGTTAACTGCCCAGACGGAAAAGTGGTTAGTGACTCTGACTGTCGTACCGGAAGGTCAGAGTTCGAATTCCAGAGAAGGCATGGATGTAAATTGTCTGTTCCTTCATAGACGGCAACGATGGCCCCTTGTTATTTGCTTCCATAATAAAATTGACCTCCGCTTCGGGCCTTATTGGCCAAAGCCTAAAATTTCTCGTTCGCGCCATAAAAAACTGTTTTTTTGTTATAACTGAAATATGTTTTAACTATGTGTCATAAGCCTAATTTCGGTGGTGTCATTTGATTGATGTCATAATTGCATAAATAAATATGTTTACTTCCTTAACTAAATTTCTGTTGATAGGGGTAATATTTTAATTATCAATTTGCATTCAAAATTGTCTTTAAGTTTTCGTAAACTTTTAATTTCAAGTGCTGTATTTTTAAAAGTAAATGTATTGTTATCTCAAGACAAAAATCTGTGAAGAATGGCTCATTATACGTTGTTTCCAATTTGCCTATCAAGACATACTTTGCATCAATAGATCAAGAAAACATCTTGCTTCACGATTAACTTTCACATTTTCCCCCAGTAATGCCTAAATGGTGAGCTTGCACTAATCATCAGCACTTGAGCATGCACGTGTAATTGTTTCTGCTGCATTGTTTTCTTTGCTATTTAGTGAGTAGTCCCATATTTCTGTTCTTTTTCCCGTGCACGTCCGTTGCTTGAGACTTTGTTTTGCTTCTTCTCCCCCTTTTAGTTGCTTTAATGCGTGAGGTACATGCCGAATTGGAGGCCATCAGGCAGGAGGAGAGAAACATCAGCCACCCAGATGGAATGACCGGAAATGTTGAAAAAAGTGAGTCTACAATCACTTTTTTCCTTTCCTTGATTCCTCTCTCAAAGTTTTGAATGTGTTATCTTGTTTATTTGTTTGCTGACTTTGTACGTTCTTTTGTTATTGGATGTATCTTTGCATGAGTGTTCTTCCCTCTTTTCCTACTGTTGTTTTTATTGTATTTTGTACCTTCTCTAATTTGCAACCGAAATTTATATAAAATTATTACAACAGAACATTACGTAAGGCTCCTACAGTACGCTCTGCAATGGAATTAAACTGACTGTATATAGAACATAATAATGTGAAACAAGCGACATTTATAAATGCTAGATGTGAAAATTATTAAACTGAGAAATCATAAAATGGTAAACTTGAGGATCAATATTTCAGTAAACTAATATTTAGTCTTTCCGCTTTTTCTAATAGAAAGTATACTAAATTTTAAACGTAGTGGAACAGTTGTTAATAACACACGGTATTGACTGTTAAAGTATGCTAGACATTCTTAAACAGTGACTGCAGATTTAATTTCTTTAAATACTAATCCTAGCAATGTACTTCTATTTCTAAAGTTTTCAAAATAAAGAGTGTGTGTGTGTGTGATTATGGCAAAGCCTCGAGGGCTATCTGCCTGAGGTATGCCTTCGTGGAGGACGTTCTGATGGAAACTGGCTCGTATACTTTTACACATGGGGAAAATAACGGAAACGCCCATGCAGCCAGCCCGCTCGCGGGATTCGAACCTCGGACCGAACTACCAGTGTTCAGCGACTTTACCGCTCGGCAGCTGATGGGCTTTAAAACTAAAGAAGAAAAGTGTTATGAGAACATGTTTTAACATAATACGTGGCATGCCCGCATCAATATATGATCTAACTTTTCATATCATTCCCTAAGAATACCATGTGCACAGCATTCTGTTTAAACTTAAAAAAACATCTACAAATTGCACAATCTAGACATTGCGCACAAATCAACCAAATAAACTAAACTAAACTACAAACCATTCAAAAAACAACAATAACAACAGAAATTCATACTAAAAAAACAATGAACATAACATTCTACAAAATAAAAACAGTAAAATAAACCAAAGCTTAATGAGACATTTACGCATGATATGATACGTGTAAAATATTCGAAAAAGACTTTACTGGTTTATATTCATTGCTTTTGGATACACCAATGAAATTCACGTCCATTTTTACAAGAATTAAGAACTTATTACATTTGCAGTTGATTACACGAAATACCTACTGTGCATATCCTTGCAAATCAGGCACATAAAAATATGAAAAGGTTTTTGGCCTTAACTTAACAAGGAATAATTCATATTTTCTCAATGTATTATTTCTGTGCCATGAATAACATTGTAGCGTGCGTACGGGTTCATAATAGATTGAATGCACAAGTCTAATAATATGTTAATAAAATTTATTTTTATCAAAAGAAATATTTCAGAACTGCGGAATTTTGCACAGAAATATTCGTAGGAGAATTCACAGTATCACACAGTATAATCAGTGGTTCCATTTCAAACTAAGAGCGTTAAACACAATGCAATGCAAAGAGCATAAAGATGCTCTCTGTTTGGTCTTAAATAGCTTTCAGCCGACCGTCGAGATATTTCTAGTGCTTTTTGCTTCTCCAAATTACTAGGAAGCAATACAAGGGTGGAATTCCTTTACTTGTAGTTTTAAAACATTTCTTATGAGATTCTTTAACTTATTATGAGAAAGTGTGTAATTCGAACTGAATATCTGGAGTCTGTATTTAAAAATGTTTAAATCCTGGCCTAAAAAATGACCACGTTTTTGGAAAACTTTGCATAAATGTAAGTTCATTATAAATTTAATAATTTATGCTGTTTACATTTAATGTGAAATAATTCAATTAAATCGTGTTTAAAAGACAGAAAATAGCATTAGAATAGACAATAATAATAGAAAATAGCATTAGAATAAAATTTACAAAGCTTATTATTTTATTAAATTAATTTATTATTTTTATTAAATAATTCGATTTATCTTGTAACAGATCATTTTTAAATCCATAAGCAGAGTAAGCTATAAAAAAATTTCTTTATTTTTAAATAAAAAAATTATTTCCTTATTTCTTAAATTTTGTGTCTTTGTGTAATTTGATCTTCTATGATTTTCGTTTACTGAATCTGATGCCTATATTAACTTGAGGATTGGTTTATTTAATAAATCAAAAAACTTATTAAGAAGAAGAAATTTTGAGTATTTTAATGCCCAGGTTAAATCATATTACAAAATAACTAGTTAATTTTTCACAATTTTCAGTTTATAGAATCAGGTAGGAATTTCATTGATTTGAAGAATTCTTAATACGAGTATACTGAATGCTGCTTTTAGGCTAAACCATATTGATTATGACAACTTGAAATTCATGTTTATTTACTCGTAATGTTTGGGTATAAATATATGCTTCGAAGGATTTGAAAGTTTCTTTATTCAGAAGGCATTTTCATATTTGAAACGACGCTTGGGCATTTTTATATTTCTGAGTTAAAGTATCAAAATAAACTCTATACCTTATTCAGAAATTCATTGTATGTTATAATTCAAAATCAGTCTTATTTAGTGGTTAAGCCAATTTGCTGCATTTGCGAAACAGAGCTATAAAAACTCCTGCATCCTAATAGTTCTGCTGAAACATTAAATAAAAAGTGTACATTTGTCATAATGGAAAGGTAAAATAATTCTTGCTATTAAAATTAATGATAATGTATGTAGACGCTACTACGTTTTTCGAACGCATAAAATGTGAGAAATCAACTCCTCCTTCTCCAATATCGAAAAACACGGATCTTCCAGGACTCTAACAAACTTTCTTTCGTAGAGATTTGATACAATTTATCTCAAGTTTTTCTATTTTTATATGTTTAATATGTTGTTAAATATTGTTCATGTGTTAGGTTTGAAGAATTACATCAGTTTTTGCGTTAGGAACTTACACACAAAGTACTCATTCCTAAGCATTTATTTTGGACCCGTAAACGGGTTTACTGATAATGAGTTTAAATAAGGGGCAACTCGGTTAGTTATTTCTGCACAGTTTCGTCTAATTTTTAGTTAGAATTTGTTTAGTTCCTTATTTTCTGTCTTAAACTAAGGCCCAAGGGGAGGCTTTCCTGTACGTCCGAGATGGGACGTCTGTCAAATATTTCTTTGATTAAATAAAAATGTACTTCAACCCTTCCTTGGACTTTGTCTTCATGGCTGTAAGAAGACCAACGAATAGTCGCTAGACTCTTCCTCAAGTTTCTAGCTGCCTAGAATACTAAATTAACTAGAACTTTATACTGTGTTAGAAATTATCACATTTCCTATCGCAGTATAAATAATTAGACCATCCAGCTTGCATCGAAGGCCTGTGATTCTAATCCCATCAGGAACAAATTTGAACTTTCAACGCCCTAAAGTCTAAAATTCTCATCAACAACAAGTGAACAAAAAGATGTTCTTGGACAATATCTAGTCACCATCCGAACTCTAAATTATGCTTATTGGGTCTCATAAGATGTTCTTGGACAATATCTAGTCACCATCCGAACTCTAAATTATGCTTATTGGGTCTCATAAGGTCTTCTTGGACAATATCTAGTCACCATCTGAACTCTAAATTATGCTTATCGGGTCTCACACTTCTTACCTTTTTCTCTTTTAAGGGGACTCGTACACCTTAAACCCCTTAAGACTTCGAATATGGGACTGTTGCAAGAATTAGGATATTTTATTTATTTTAAAAGCAATTACTTCCAACTTTTTACATCTGGCTCCATATTATAGCTGCTTTATGAACTAGTAACCAGAACGTTTGTGTTGCTACAAATATTTTTATAATTTAATCTGCTTTGTAACAAAATTGTTTATGCGTTCACGTCATGTTTCCCCCTTGCATGAACAGTTTAAAACATTCTGTTGCATAATTTAATATGTAGCTTTCATAACATTTGTAAACTACTGTGAAACAAATTCATGTTAAATTTTTATTTTATTTGGAGTTGAGTTTATTTAATGTATTTTACTAAAAACGCCCGCAATGTTTTCGTGAATAAAATTTTTTAATATTAAAATATTCATCAGATTTTGCATCATCAGAAGTGCCCATATAAAGAATTCCACCAAATTTCAACCAAAATTATGCATAAATAGCAGTATTGGAGAACTGGGGGGATATTTCAGGTACAAACAGGTACTTCTGACACTAATAAAAAAGGAATCTATCCTCTTAGATGATTAATAACTGCGTACGTATATACGATGGACAAAATCACATTTTAAACATATGTTACAACTATTACAAGCTGGTTAACAGAAAAGGATTCAAGAAAATGAAGGATTCATGATGTCTTTTAATCGACTCTTCTGTCAACACAGAAAGGACTCCATAAGAGAACACTGTTTACTTAAGCACTTTTGGCAAGAAATACACTGAAGTGACAAAAATCATGGCATAGCAATATGCAAATATACAGATGGCAGTAGTATCGCGTAGAAAATGTATAAATGCGAAGTGCTTTGGCAGGGCTTTCATTTGTGTTCAAGTTATTCATGTGCAGAGGCTTTCACGTGATTATGGCCGCACGACGAGAATTAACAGACTTTGAACGCGGAATGGTAGTTGGAGCTAGACGCATGGGTCATTCCATTTCGGATATCGTTAGGGAATTCAACATTCTGAGATCCACAGTGTCAAAAGTGTACCGAGAGTATCTAATTTCAGGCATAACATCCTACCATGGACAGCGCAGTGGCCGACCACCTGCACTTAACGACCGAGACCAGCGACGTCTGCGTAGAGTTGTCAATGTTCACAGAGAAGCAACACTGCGTCAAATAACCGCAGAAATCAATGTGGGACGTACGAGGGACGTGTCCGATAGGACAGTACGGCGAAATTTGTCTTCCTTAGGCTATGCCTGCAGAAGACAGACTCGAGTGCCTTTACTGACAGCACGACATCGCCTGCAGCGACTCTCGTGGGCTCGTGAGCATATCGGTTGGTCCCTAAACGAATGGAAAACTGTTGCTTGGTCAGATGAGTCATGACTTCAGTTGGTAAGAGCTGATGGTAGGGTTCGAGTGTGGGGCAGACCCCACGAAGCCATGGACCCAAGTTGTCAACAAGCTGGTGGTGGTTCCATAATAGTCTGGGCTGTTTTTACATGGCATGGACTCGGTCCTCTGGTTCAACTGAACCGATCATTGACTGGAAATGGATACCTTTAGCTACTTGGAGGTCACTTACAGCCTTTCATGGACTTCACGTACTCAAACAACGATGGGATTTTTATGGATGACAATGCGCCATGTCGCCGGGCCACAATTTTTTGCGATTAGTTAGAAGAAAAACATTTTGGACAATTCCAGCGAGTGATCTGGCCACCTAGATCGCCCGACATGAATCCCATTGAACATTTATGGGACATCACCTAGAGGTCAGTTCGTGCCCAAAACCCTGCACGGTCAATACTTTCACAATTATGGACGTCTATAGAGGCAGCATGGCTCAATATTCCTGCAGGGGACTTCCAAAGACTTGTTGAGTCCATGCTACGTCGCGATGCTGCACTTCGTTGGGCAAAAGGAGGACCGACAAAATATTAGGAGGTATCACATGACTTTTGTCACTTCAGTGTATAACATCCAAAGACCAGTTTATATTTGGAGAAAGAGTTGCGAACTCATTATTTTCACGATTGCTCTTGACATCTAATAGAAATCAAAATTTAATTCTGTAACAAAATGATAATTCAATCAAATAGCAGATCAGAAATGTATGCTTAGAAATAGATGCAACAAAATTATAAAAAAAAACATTATGAAAACTCATGGCAAAACCTAAACCGTAGCTGGTGACAACCTGTGACGTTCGTAATACATAGCAAACTTTTACTGTAACTTCGAAAATAAAATGCATTATTCAAGCATACTTTACGAAATAAATAAAAAAATCAAATCAAATATATATATATCAGCAAATAGCTCCAGTATGCACAGAAAAACTCAGTGAAAATCTTTAGCAGATACTGAAATGAAAAAGGAAAATGTCTGATACACTAGGAAAGGTATAAATGTAAATTCCCCTGCTATAGCTAAACCAAACACGTATTTGAGATGCGCTACGCATTATTTATGCATCCAATAGCGCTATCATCTTCAAACAACTATGCAGTTCCTGTGGAATCAATCATTAGGCTGTTATGAACTCGCAAATATGTAACGTCAAGAACTTTTTATGCATATACTTTTATTTTTGTGCATTCTAATATATATACCATTGCCAAACAACTTAAATGGCATATTGGTATGCGTTTACCACCTCCTTTAATGCTACAACATAAGAATGTTGTATTGTTACTATTTACAGTACAGTTCTGGTGTCTAACAATTTGATTTTCTCTCCCTAGTATTAACACCTAGCAGCATTTTCACATGGTACAGCAATGAGAAAGAATTATAACTGTATCGCTAAAGGCAAAGCCATAGCGTGCTATCTTGCTTAAAAGTAAACTCATTGAAACATATAATCTTTTCCAATATGAAGTCTCTTCAATTTGCTTTTTCTAAATTATATGAATTTCCTATTCTTGTCAAACTTTCACGTTCACGGGGATTGAATCTTATTGCTTGCGAAATGTCCTTGTACAAAGTAGTGTAATGCGAAAATTTTTGGGCATTATATATCAGCGGAATCCATTTTGACCATTCCTGAATCCACTGGACGACTTTTTTTTTTTTTTTTTTTTTTTTTTTTTTTTTTTTTTTTTTTTGTGTGTGTGTGTGTGTGTGTGTGTGTGTGTGTGATATTTGTACGTGCGGAGAGAATACGGGACTCTTTTGCCAAAACTGCGTTATAAAATGGATTCAAAAAGGATTTTTTTTCGGGATTTCGGTACGCACATACGTATCTATGTATGTATGCATATACATAGCATAACTCAAAAACGATTAGCCCTAAAACGTTTAAATTTTGTATATGTGATTGCTATAGCATGTAGTTGTGCACCTCTTCTTTTTATTGCAATCGGTAATACCTAACATTTATATTAAGGGGGCTCATACACCTTAAACACCTTATGATCTTCGAATATGTGACTGTCGCAAGAATTGGGATATTTTATTTATTTTAAAAGCAATTACTTCCAATGTTTTACAGCTTACTACATAATATAGCTGCTTTAGAACTAGTAACCAGATAGTTTGTGTTGCCACAAATATTTTTGTAATTTAATCCGCTTTGTGACAAAATATTTCGTCATGTTTCCACCTTGCGCGCACTATATTTTAAAAATGGCTAATGGTACATACTTGAAATTTCATGGAATTCTTTATATGGGTACTATTTTCTACGTGAACCAAAAATTTGATGAATATTTTAGTATTAAAACAATTTATGCAAGAAAATATTACAGATTTTTTTAATAAATACATTTTATAAACTCGACTCCAAATAAAATAAAAATTTAACATGAAATTTTTAGAATTTTAGGTTCACAGTAGTTTCCAAATGTTATTAAAAGCTACATATTAAATATGGAATTAAATTATGCAACAGAATGTTTTAAACTGTGCACGCAAGGTGGAAACTTGACGAAAACGTTTCTCACAAAGCGGATTAAATTATAAAAATTTTTGGCAACACAAACTTTCTGATGACTATTTCAGAAAGCAGCTGTAAAAAGTTGGAAGTAATATAATTTAAAATCAGTAAGTTATCCCAATTCTTGCAACAATCACATATTCGAAGATTTTATGAATTTTAAGGTATATGAGTCCCCTTAAGTGTGTATACCCACCCCGTTACCCGGACTTTATTTTCGCAATCGTTTGTCATAGTCATACCCTTCCATAGTTTACGTGTTTTAAATGACAAAAATATTCATGTTTTAGCAATTTAAAATTAAAAAAAAAATAATTTACGACAAATTACTCGTTATGAAAAAATAAAACTAAAAGAAGTTTTACTCTAGTACGACAAAAATTGACCGGGATATTTAATCTCAAAATGTGCAATTTTTGTTGTCATTTTTAACTTACCTCGAGTAATCGGTTAATTATGTTAGAATAATTCCTGGGAGTAAGTTTAAATAAAGCGCAGGAAGGAAAATATGCATAATTAAAGAGGCCGTAGAAGGAAGCCATGCGGTGTTCCCATCAGATCTTTTATAACTATTAATAATTATGTTTATCCATAATTACGAAATCATTAAAAATATATTAGTGTTTTGCTGTAGGTAAAGAATTAACTTTTGCAGTAATAATTCTTATTTTTTTCAGGGTCTAAGTGCAATACTTTGCCGTTGCCGCCTTTCAGTCGCCATCCTGTAGTATCAATGGAGGGTTTGTCAGCAGGCAGTTCCTTCGAATTCAATCCTCCAGCTTCTGTTCCACAACAACCCTCTATAGAAAGCACCGATTCCCGAATCTACCTCACCTCCTCAGAAGTAAGTCACAACATGCAAAGCTTTGAACCCGTAACTTGTGTAAATATAATTAATATCCAACTTTATTACACAATGAGTATCCGTTTTAATATTGCTTTATCAGATGGAGTTTATTTTCAATCATTAGTGTTCAAAACAAAGATTCATAAATGGTAAACTCAGAACTTTTAATGTAGTGAAGTGAAAGTATTAAAAAGCAGAATTGCAGTTGAAAAATTAAATTTTTTCCCATTTGGCTTCTCATTTCGTTTGTCTATTTTCAGATTTGAATTTCATACTTTGTTATAACTGGCTTGTAACTTTACCGTATATATAATTTCGTTTGTCACAGTACTCAAATTATGAAATCAATAATTTACAAATGCAGGGTGTTTCGTAACTCATGGGCAGAAATTTAAGAGATGGAAAAGATGCATTTTAGAAATACATTCACCGTAAAGGTGCATTCATCCTTGAACAACACATGCGCACTGAATTCAGGCTGCGCTGCTATTGCAAAAACCAAAGTGCAAACTGGACACGTGGCTTATAATCTGCAGATATCAAGGCTTTTACTTTCTGTACATGTCCTGTAATACTCGCCAAAAAATTGAGTGGGACACATGTAAGACACGAGAAACCTCTCACGGGCTAATATAGGGACGATCTTCGACTGTTTGCAGAATATCCTCAACAGCCGCACACTCCTGCCACGGCCTGTATCATGAATGCCGGCAACAAAGGATCCCGTTCCACATAGGCACCAATGCACTCGCTCGAACGTATTTCTCTCGTCTGGCACTTTGTCTTTTGGGGAGACTTTGCCTATATACAGTCTTTCGGCTTTCAGTGTATTCCCATTCGCAAGACAATACGTAGGTAGGTAGGTAGGTAGATAGGAAGGTTACGTAGGACAAGAATGCCTAGTGCCTAACAGAGGTAAACAGACACGTGTCCCACGTCCTCCTCTAACTGGAGCAACACCTCCCTGCAGCCCCACGTGGCTGCACCGGGAGTTTTTTGAGGTTGTTAAAAGGATGAACATGGCATTAATAGGCTTGGATTACAGACTGAAGGAGGCAAGCTGTGGTGTTACAGATGGTAAGTGTTGGTTGTGCATTAGCACTGAAGGCGTAATGAGTACGTTTCCTCAAGCACAGTTTTCATTAAAGAAGCATAAGTCAAAAAATGAACTACGAAATCTTTATTTAATAAAATAGGATAATTTTGCTTAACTCAAGCATAGCAAAAAAGTAATAATCTTCACGGATATTAAAACACTGAAGTATTGAAAAGGAGATAACTTACATAGAATCATCATCAGTCCTAAATATCAGGCTTACCTATTTTAGGCAATAAGAAAAAAGAAACAGAAACATAATTCGACATAGTACCTGGAAAAGAAGAAAGTGCTAATTTGATTTAGACCTTTGGCCCAAGTACAAGTAGCTAGGGTGAAAATCGAATATACTGCATTGCACACAAACCTTACTTTCTCTCGCCAATATATATATCTTGGCGCACGTTCGTTTCGTATGCCTTTAGAGTTTCATTATGCAAAATACCTAAATTTATGCTAACAGTAAGTAGTAAAAATACCAAAAAGTACACATAAAAACACATAAATACACATAAGCAAATAATACCCAAAACACAAAACGTAAAATACACAATACATAAAACAGGTACATGCACATAATCACTTAAAGCACAAAAAGACATACATGTATATTAATACAGATGAATACAAATGGGAATGCACAGGTACATAGAGGCGCGAGTACGCCAAGATAAATTTTAAATTTGTTAGTAAATTTCTCACCAAATTTTACAAAACTTAATATTTAAGAATTATTTGACGGATAGACTTGAAATATGAAAAAGCACTTGTAATCACAAAATGTCCAATTTTGTATCAAAATACCTATGTTAAAACAGTTCTGTTTATAAATCTAATGTATATTCTAAGTCGCGCTTTCAAGACATGAAAAACGCAAATTAAATTTCGCCAATTTGTCCAGTAGAACGGGAGATATAGAACTGTCTTTTTTTTATGCAAAGTATACATTTTCTGAGCCATGCTGCCTCGAAGAATTATCAGTCAGACATATACTACCAACATTTTTTCAAGCGTTCTTCCATTTAAGCACTAGACTTCTCAATAATTGAAGTCACGACCTTAAACACCACCAAAAACTGAAACTTACACTTTTCTGCTATTGATAAAATTCGAAATAACTCAGGTCTCCCAGTCATAAACGCATATACTGGTTTGCAATGGTAGGTGCTATATTCACCAAGTGTTTCATTGTTCAGCATATGCATGGTATTACACAGAAGCTAAAATTGCATCAAAATTAATTACAATTTCGGAAGGGATGAAATTTCAGTTTATTTATTTCTGTGTCCGTATCTATTTAGAGAATCATTTCTTCACTTAATTAAAAAATCTGGTGTGTACACCACATGACTTCCTTGTATTGGAATATTAAATTATACGCATTTTTTCTTGCATTTCATTTAAACTTATTGGATTGAATTAAATCTACTTCGCCGACAGCGCATAAAACACGATAGAATAAATGTATTCTTTAAAATTCCCTCTATTTGTTTACCATAGCGACACTCTGGCGCTAGATTCACTTAACAGTATTATATTTCGTTCATATTTTAACTCAGAATACACAAAATTTATATCATTTAAAGAATAGAATTATCTAATCGTTGCCACATGTTTTATTCAAATATTATAATAAATAGCTAGAAGGATGTATAAAGGAAATGAAGCAAACAAAACAAAAAAGAAACAGTTTTTCACAGACGATTGATTATTTCACATTCAATTAATTCAGTTCTCACTTCGCGACAAGGCAAAAATACATAAATACTCAAAATATATGTATTAGAAATTACGAAGTAAATCTTAAACACTTATTTCCTCGAAAAAATTCCTGAACGGATTAAGCATGATTTAATTCGCAATAATAAATGAAGGCGTTGTCTTTGTTGTTGCGAAGCTAAGTTTCTCTAGATTGGCAATAAATCCACTATACTGCTGTTTCAAATGCAAACAAGCAATGGCCGCCACCAGGAAAATTATTAGGCTTAGCGACACTTAAACAACTTTAAAATTGTTGATAATTCTATAGATATTGCATACAGATTTACCAAAGGCATAAAAACCTTAACCGGAAGATAAGAACAACATAATTTAATCATTTTTAAAGCAAAAAATGTACAATTTACAAACATATAAGAGTAAAGAAACTGAGATCACTGAGCCGGGTAACAAAGTGGATATATATATAAATATATTTATATACGTTTGGTGCGGCCGATTGCAACCACAATACGAGGTGCATATCTACATGTTATAGCAGTCCTATACACAAAATTTCAACGTTCTGAGGCTACTCGTTTTTGAGTTATGCGAGGTACGTTCGTACAGACGCCACGAGAAATTCTCTTCAGAATTCATTTTAAAGCAGTTTTATAATTTTTTTGAAGTCAAAGAGTATTTTATTCTGTTCTTACGTACCGATATCACGCAAAAACATCTTTAAATTGCATTCGATAGCGATCAAAATGGATATTTTCGTTGAAATATGCTGCCTGAAACTTTTCGCGATTAACAATACTTCCTTTTCACTTCGTACAAGGAAGTAAAAATGCAAATCTATATTTCCAAATCCCTCTTGCACGTGTGGACCTTTCACTGCCGACTTCATGTTAAAACAGTGAAACCACATTTACAGGCATTGCGCTCAAATGGGAAGGGTTTCAGTATTGCATTACGTATGCGTAATTAGGCGACCTGTGCAAAGCGTGACTGCTTAAAAAGCAAAGTAAATAAAATTCTATAAATGTTTTCCCGCATAACACCTTAAGGTTTATTTTTCTTTCTGCTAATGTTTTAGTTTTACTTGAACATTTCTTCATTTTTTCCTCAGTCTCGCATCTGTTGTCGTAAGAAAACGCACTTTTATTTAGGAATAAACTCAAACTTTAATATGAAAATTTCAAATATCGCCATACTTACGCGATATACGCTTTGGCAAGGAAACTGTATATTTTATTTCTATTAGTAAAGCTTTTTGTTTTATCCTGTGACGTCCTTTTTTTTTTTTATTCTTTTTTGTTTTATTCTAAGATCTTTTTACCAATCTTGGTTTCTTAATCTTTACCTATTTTCAAACTTGAATATTTATTATCACTTAACATTTTAAATTTTCTTCCTTGAAAATTCGCGTTAAGCAAAAGGGTAGTTTCTTTTACTTGATGATAAATGCAGCTTTGCAACTACAACAACCCTTCTGCTTTTTCCAATAGTAAAACTGTAGGGTTTATATTTATTTTAAGTTTAAACTATCTTTCCTGTCAAGCCTTACTTTCCCCTGGAATTGCCAATGCCAGAGTATGTAAATTTTAGTAGAACGCGCAAAGTATCCAAAATAGTCAGCGGAAGTATTTCTGAGTTAAATAGAAGGGAAACGAGTTCGAAAGTGTGCTTTCTTGCTTCACGAGCGTGGAGGTGGCTTGGTAAAAGTTTAAGAACCGCGAGTTTCGGCCTGTATGCCTAGTTCGACAGTTCGTTGAATCTTTCAAATTCTTAATCAGAAAGTTTGCTTAATCTCAGCTGTATCTTAGAACGCGGTTAAGTTAGTTACGATTATAGAGCCTCGTAGGTATTGACATCGTTATTTATTCATCCTGTCATTTATTTTTAGTTGCATTTTTGTCTATTTTGTTCAACCTCCGGGTCGGCGTAATTTGTGAGCGTCAAGTGAACGCAACTGTCATTTCTAAAGTGAAATAAAAAGGGAGTTAAACCCTTCTTAAGAGTTTGTGTAATTTCCAGTTCATAGCAGTCACTACTACTGTTGCTGACAAGTTGGGGGCCTTTCCACATCATAAACTATTAAATCAAACTGAACACATTATTTGAACATAAAATTACAAAGCAAAACGAAATGGCAAAAAATTTCATAAAACGATCCTTTGTAATAAGGATGCAGGCTCTG